GTTTTCAGAGTATTTTGATGTAATTTGTGAGTTTTTTTCGTTCGAAACAAGAAAACCCCATGCATGTCTTTTGGTCTATCCCCCAATCTCTAAAAGTCACACACTTGCCTCTTCAAAATCAATATTTCATTATGATTCCTAATCAGTGAATGAACTCTTATCTCTTGAAGAAAACGAAAGTAAACTAAAATAAAAAATTAAAAATTATGAAGAGAAAGGGTCATCGAAAATGTCAAAGTACCAGCAAAGGCAGTTGAAATTTTTGGGAGCGTTCGTTTTTTCATTACTGCCGAGGAAAAGATCTAATTTAAATTACATTTTTTTTTTGCAAAAACCCTAAAAATAAATTCTTAAATTGAGATCCAGTATTCCAACATAACTACAATAACAACACAACCCCTACATCTTCTTAAGCAGCATAATAATGAATTTTTTGTTTCATCTTGAGATGCTGATAAGGATTTACTTGTGTTTAAATTTCGAAAAAAAAAAACGAATTAATGAGTCCACATGTCGTTGTATTTGTTTAAGAACGCCAACTGATAAAACGAAACTAACGAAGAAGCATATTTTCTTAAAAACTATAAGGCTGTCGTCGTGTCTCAAAACCCCAAGAGGAGAACTCTTTCTTTTATCGCCTTCTTGTTCTTCAAAACATGCCTCAGTACTTGGCTTCTGTCGCTGCCTGCTGCTGCTTTGCTTGCAACGAACGACGACCACCGACCGACTTCATCATTAGCTTTGTGTGGAATTTTCGAAATTATATGGACGACGTCCAGCCAGTCGAAAAGAGATTGTGGTCGGGTTCGGTTCATTGCGGATAAACGAGAATAGTGGAAAAGCCAAATAAAGGAAAACGTCAGGCAACAACGAGCGAAGACGACGGATAAAAACCCATAATCCAATTTGGATATAAAACCAAATATTACCGGTATATATCAGAGCTCAGAGCAGAGTCTTGTGATCCGTTTTTACATGTGTTGGTGTTTGCGTGTGTGTGTTTTTCTAGATTATCACAGAAAAATATGAAATATGAATGAATTCTAAAATATGTTTGTGTTATTACAACAAATACAAAAAAACAAAATCCATCCATCCATTCATAGTGAAATAAGAAAGGAAATGCTTTCAAGTAACTAACATGGAGAGTGTAGAACAAATATCACTGATAAGAAGGCGAAAATGAATGACTGACTGGCTTGTGGTGGTTTCAATACTCCCTAATCTCAGAAATGGCGGAAATTCGAAAAAGAAATGTGTTCTGAATACTTTCACTTTATCAAATAGAACCAGAAAAAAAACTAGAGATTTTACATAAAAAAAATATTTTAAAATTGAAATTTAATGGAATTTTGAACAGTTGTGCTGTGTGTGTGTGAATGTGGAATTTAATAATTAAAATTATTTAAATGAATAAATGAAATAGACGAGCTTCTTAAACGCTGTGGATTTTTTTCGAATTACAGATACAGAATTACAGATAAAAAATAAATAATGTACAATTAACATACTTATACACAAAGGACTTGCAACGACAGTTGGTTGTAGATTTCAAAACAGGACCAGTATCGAGCTGGGCCAAGGACAACAGAAACAAAAAATCGAAACAAATGACATAAACCAAACATAACAAGTCAAAGATATTGCAATTAAAACTAATAAAAGTGAATAAATGACGAGAAAAATGACGTACAGGTTTACTACAGACCTGCCATGCATAGAGTTTTGATGGGCCCGTCAAATAACTTTTTTAATTTTGTCATTGCGTTTGTAACACCTCCAAATATACATTTTAAATCCCACAAAGTATATATATTCCTGATCAGAATAAAATTCTATGTCGATTTAGCGATGTCCGTCCGTCTGTGGAAATCACTCTAGCTTCCGAACGAAATGAAGTAGATTGATAAAATTTTATTCAAATGTATATTATGTCTGCAGGACTTTTGGTATTAAAAATTGGCCATGTAGGTCCACGTTTTGGCATAGCCTCCATATAATGGTACCTCCCTATTTTCAGAATTGTGACGATTTTAGCGACATTATTCACCGGAATTGTTTCAAATTTGGTATTTAAAGTTCGTAATGGAAGAAAATTGCCTATGCAGGTCCACGCCTTTGTATAGACCCTAATATTACGGCTACATTCGGTATTTTTAAGATTTTAACAGAATTTTTAACAGATGTTATTTTTTTTTTTTGAAAATTGCCAAATTCGTTGCAAATGGTGGAGGAGGGTATTCAAAGTTTGGCCGGGCCGAACTTACAGCTTTTTTACTTGTTTTTAAATCTAGTGTAGCTTGGGCCGATTGGCACGTAACGCCATCCTGTGGGAACCAAATGTTCCGATTATCCATCTGTTCAACTTTAGTGAACAAAAATTAGAACAGTGTTGGCATGCTTGTTCGAGATACCGTTTGTTGTTGCAAAATATTTTTGTTCTTTTTTTAAAATTAGTTTAGTTGACCTGATAACTTTCCGGCCACTCCGAAGAAAAATGGCCTTATTATGCTTCTGGACCAAAATCATGATAACTTTCCGGCCACTTCGAAGAAAAATGGCCTAATTATGCTTCTGGACCAAAATCCGCACCGAACAGTGACTCGTTCTAAGTACATCGGCTTTTCAATGCACGCGTGCGGGTTTTATGTGCCTCAAATGCAACAATTTTTCTTGTTTACATGCGGAACTGACAGATCTTCTCTTCTTTTTAAATCTTTACACATTTGGCAACATTACCATTATTTTTAAAGTAATGTCGCAAAATACACAATCATATTCGTTCAGCGTAAGGATTAAACTAATTAATTATCTGTCAAATCGTGACGAGCTGAGTGCTATAACTCATGAAATCAGTACTAGTTAATAAAACTTCATATGGCGGATCCTGCACTACTTAATAACTTTTTCTAATTTTTTCCTTCTCAAAAAAGAAAATATTTTTAAAACAGCTATTTCTTCGACGAGAAGCATGATATGCTAGGAAACGTCTACCAGTGGCCATGTTGTTATTATAGAGATGGTGTAACTCCTTGTCTAGATTTTTTCAGAAACTAGATTGGATCGACGGTTTGAAGATTTTCTCATGGGCCTGTAATAAAGGTGTGTGTGATAAATGTATGTCAATTTCTTTTTTGGAGGATAGGATTTTCCTTTTCTTTCGTATTTACGATGGACCCGTATTCCTTAAGGAAATGCATTAGATTATTATACCCTCCACCATAACTTGGAGAGTATCTTAAATTTGTCATTCTTTTTGTAACTCATCGAAGTAATAATTGTAGACCAGCGTAGAATTCTAATCCGATTTAGCCACGTCCGTCCATTTGTTGTAATCACTCTATTTTCCGAAGACATTGATATAGAGTGCCGACATTTGCATTTGGTATGACGGTACTCGCTCATTTTAAGCATTTCGAGGATTTTTTTTTTTTTTTTTTTTTTTCAAAAAACAGTTAATTTACAGAGTGAGATAAAAAAAACTTCATCAAATTTTAGAATAAGTTTAGATTTGTTCGAATTGGTCACCTTTGGCACCAATTATTGCCTCCAAACGGCCAATGAAAACGTCACACGCTGCCCGAATGTTGTTCTGCGGTATTTAGGCCCATTCCTGGCGAAGAGCTTGCTTGAGGTGATCGACACTTTGGTATTTTTCAGTGACAACCTTGCTTTCCAAAATACTCTAGACACAATATCCAACGGATTGGTATCCGGAGATTTTGGTGGCCATTGTGCGTTGGAAATGAAGCATGAATTATTAATGAATGAATTAATACACCCTCCAGAATATTTTCGCTATAATATTCGGCATTTATTCTGATACCACAGTCGTGTAATACGAGCGGAGAGCGACCATCGGCACGAGACACAAAAAATTTATTCACATTTAAATGCTGGATTTTTTTTTTTTTTTTTTCAAAAAACAGTTAATTTACAGAGTGAGATAAAAAAAACTTCATCAAATTTTAGAATAAGTTTAGATTTGTTCGAATTGGTCACCTTTGGCACCAATTATTGCCTCCAAACGGCCAATGAAAACGTCACACGCTGCCCGAATGTTGTTCTGCGGTATTTAGGCCCATTCCTGGCGAAGAGCTTGCTTGAGGTGATCGACACTTTGGTATTTTTCAGTGACAACCTTGCTTTCCAAAATACTCTAGACACAATATCCAACGGATTGGTATCCGGAGATTTTGGTGGCCATTGTGCGTTGGAAATGAAGCATGAATTATTAATGAATGAATTAATACACCCTCCAGAATATTTTCGCTATAATATTCGGCATTTATTCTGATACCACAGTCGTGTAATACGAGCGGAGAGCGACCATCGGCACGAGACACAAAAAATTTATTCACATTTAAATGCTGGAGTGCTCTAACGATAGCTACTTGTGGTTTTTTCAGCACACCCTGTAGATCCACATTGTGGTATATCTCCCATATAACTGTACCAGCCTATATTTGGTATTCTGATGTATTTTCCTAATTTTTTAAGGGAATCATCTGATATTTTTTTTAAGGGGGTTTAAGGGGCTAAGTGCCTTACAAACATTTTTTTGATATAGGTCCACATTTTGACTTTGTATATATCAAGGCCGAACTAACTATTTTTTTCTTGTAAATTTTTTGTAATCGTTTCGAGAACATGGCGAAGGTTTTCAAACTTCCAATGCAAATATATGACCAAGCTTATGATTTCTTTAACACAAAATTTATGTTCATGATTTTCGAGAAAGAAAATGATATTCATATGGCTCTGGGGGTCATTCTCATTCTCATTATTGTTAATTTTTAAATTTGTCTATTCTATGATATTTAAGCACTATTTTAAGTTAATCTTCCAATACATGTGTAATTGGCCTTCAATGGCTTTCTTTGTATTGAATGTAAATAAATGATTTAAATCTTCATTTAAAATTTTATCCCATTTTTATATTTAAAATAATAATAATATGTTGGACTATTAAAAATAATATTTTTTTCAATTTTTTTCAGATTCGCAAAAATAATAATTAAATCATAACGAATTTCAAATAATTATCACAAAACATAAAAGTAAGTTCATATTCAATCACTAAATACTCGTTCTTCTAAATAATGATTGCATCTTTTTAGGTGCAGAACTATAAAAAAACATGTTTTGAGCAACAGGACATACTGAAGCAGAACGGAGGAAACAAGGAAGTCTTTGCAAAACAAAACCAAAAAAAAGTTGCGACTTCCTTGCTCACAGCAGAATTGAACTTATCTCCATTGTTGTTATTGTAAGAAGAAAAAAAGCCCGACTTTGAAACGAAAGTAGGACGCTTCTTTAGTGCGTGCCCGTTCACATGTGTGTGTTATGTACAAACGAAACGATTACGACCGGAAATTTATGAACTAAGAACACTACACACACACTCCCCAGATTTTAACGACCAGGCCAGCAGGCATTCATAAAAAACGATATTGTTGTCTGCGCGCACACACACACACATAATTTTCTCTCACACAGAGAACAGGGAACAAAATCGAAATCATTAGGTGGAGAGTTGGAACATCACAACATGACGAAAATATGTTGGAGCGGCGCTGTTAGCAGCCGCTTCAAGCTAACAACAACAACAACGCGTCTTATCAATCGTAGACTATTTCTTGCGCTGGCGGTAGCTGTACTGTGTTTGATTCACACAGCGAGTGGCCAGCATGCCGGGAGACGAGATCGTCCCCGCAATCCTCCAAGACAATTCATAAAAACACATCCCTGCGAACGATCATCCTGTTACCCGGCCACGGGCAATTTACTCATTGGTCGTGAACACCGTTTATCGGCCTCTTCAACGTGTGGTCTTAACTCACCCGAACGTTTCTGCATATTGTCCCATTTGCAGGACAAGAAATGTTTCCTTTGCGACACCAGAGAGGAGACACGAAATGATCCCTACAAGAACCATCGCATTGGCCAAATTATTTATAAAACCAAACCCGGCACCAACATACCGACATGGTGGCAATCGGAAAACGGTCGTGAAGGCGTATCCATACAATTGGATTTGGAGGCTGAGTTCCATTTCACTCACTTGATTATGTCGTTCACCACCTTCCGGCCTGCGGCCATGTTCATTGAACGTTCATTTGATTTTGGCCAGACATGGCATGTTTATCGCTATTTTGCCTATGATTGTGCCGACTCATTTCCGGGGGTACCAACGGTGTTGCGCAACATTACCGATGTCGTTTGTACATCACGTTATTCGAATGTGGAGCCTTCTCGTAATGGTGAGGTTATTTTCCGCGTTTTGCCACCGAACATCAATGTGTCCGATCCCTACGCTCCACATGTGCAAAACATGTTGAAGGTAACCAATCTGCGTGTGGTCTTTAAGAAGCTCCACAAGTTGGGTGACAATTTGCTGGACAATCGCCTGGAGAATGAGGAAAAGTATTATTATGGTATCAACAACATGGTGGTGAGAGGTTCCTGCTCCTGCTATGGCCATGCTTCCCAGTGTTTGCCTTTGGACGGTTCGGATACCAGTGAACCGGATATGGTCCATGGCCGTTGTCAATGTACCCACAACACCAAGGGTCTAAATTGTGAAACCTGTGAAGACTTCTTCAATGATTTCCCCTGGAAACCGGCCTTTGGCAAGCAGACAAATGCCTGTAAGAAATGTGAATGTCATGACCATGCGGTAAGCTGTCACTTCGATGAGGCCGTGTTCGAGGCGTCGGGACGTGTTTCGGGCGGTGTTTGCGATAATTGTATGCACAACACCCAGGGCCAGCATTGCGAGGAATGTATGCCATTCTTCTATCGGGATCCCAATGAGGACATCAGCAGCCCCTATGTCTGTAAACCTTGCGAATGTGATGCCATTGGTTCGTTGGATGAGGGTATTTGTGATTCACCCGATCCCGATACACCTGATGTGGAGGCTGGTTCTTGCCACTGTAAGACCAATGTCAAGGGCAGACGCTGTGACACATGTAAGGATGGTTTCTGGAACTTGATAGCCGAAAATCCTGACGGTTGTGAGCCGTGCAGTTGCAACACTTTGGGTACCGTGGACAATTCCGGTTGCGACATGATCACCGGTGAGTGTAGATGTAAACGTTTGGTTACCGGCAAAGATTGTAATCAGTGTGCTGCCCAGACCTATGGTCTGTCCGAGTCCGAAGACGGTTGTACTCCTTGCGATTGTGATGCTGGTGGTTCGTATGACAACTTCTGCGATGTAATTACCGGTCAGTGTCGCTGCCGTCCACATATGACTGGTCGTAGATGTGCCCAGCCCAAGCAGAACTATTTTATACCGCAATTGCACATCACCCACGAAGCGGAAAGTTCACAACACTGTGTCTCCTATTCCAGCGGCAATGGCAATTGTTCAACAATACCCTATCCCCAGACACCGGATCGCTTACCCGATTGGACGGGCATCGGATACATTCGAGTCCCCGAAAACTCTGAGCTGGTTATTACTGTTGATGATATACCCCGTTCCATGCCTTATGATGTACTCATACGTTATCAGTCCACTTCGCGCGGCGACTGGGAAGATGCCTACATAACATTGGTACGTCCCGACGAGGTGGATCCTGTGGGAGATTGTGCTGATCTTGTGCCACCGGGTTCCAGTGTCTATGAGTCGCGTGTGCCATTTGTCTTGCCCGATCGTGAGCGCCAGGTGATTGCATTGCGTGAGGTGTGCCTCGAAGCTGGCAAAATGTATAAATTCAAAATCCACTTCGAAAGGAGACGCCACAACGAAGATAATCCCACCTCGACAATTTTGATTGATTCACTGACCCTGATTCCGAGAATAGAATTGACCAGCATATTCCGTGGTTCACCCGTGGCCGATTCCCGCCGCACCCAGTACTATCAAATGGGCTGTAATCAATCGCTGTATGACATACGCTATAGCAGTTTTGCCGATGAGCGCTGCAAGGAACTGGAGGACTATGTGAGCACAGTCATCTATGATGGTGCCAGCATGTGTAACTGCAATCCCACTGGTTCGTTGAGTAAGGAGTGTGATCCCCATGGTGGTTATTGTCAATGTAAACCGAATGTGGTGGGACGTCAGTGTGACCAGTGTGCTCCGGGCACATATGGTTTTGGTCCCGAGGGATGCAAGGCTTGTGATTGTAACAGCATTGGAGCCAAGGATAACAATTGTGATGTTCTAACGGGTCAATGTGCCTGCCACCCCAATACCTATGGCCGCGAATGTGATCAGTGTCAGCCTGGTTTCTGGAATTTCCCCAACTGCCAAGCCTGTGAATGTAATGGTCATGCCCAGCAATGTGATGCTCGCACTGGCCAATGTTTGAACTGTGCCGACTTCACCACTGGCTATGGCTGTGATGCCTGTTTGCATGGTTACTACGGAAATCCCTATTTGGGCAGTGAAATCGGTTGCCGTGCCTGTCGCTGTCCCGACACTATTGCCAGTGGCAATGCCCATGCCGATGATTGTTCATTGGATGTGCGTAACAATAACATGATCTGTCATTGCCAGGATGGTTATGATGGACCACGTTGTGATATTTGTGCCGACAACTACTTTGGTGATCCCGAGGTACCTGGCGGCTCCTGTCAGAAATGTGACTGTGGCAACAACATTGACATCTACGACACTGGTAATTGCGATCGACACACCGGAAAATGCTTGAAATGTCTCTACGATACGACCGGTGATCATTGTGAGCTGTGTCGCGATGGTTACTTCGGAGATGCTTTGAAACAGAATTGTATACCCTGTGACTGTGACTTCCTGGGCACCAATAGCACCGTGCAATTCTGTGATCGCGTCAGTGGTCAATGTCCCTGCCTGCCCAATGTCGAGGGTGTACGTTGTGATGAATGTGCTCCCAACCATTGGAAGATTGCCTCTGGTGAGGGTTGCGAGGCCTGTGAATGTGATCCCATTGGATCATTGTCGGAGCAGTGCAATCGTTACGACGGCCAGTGTGAGTGTAGGGAAGGTTTTGGTGGTCGCGCCTGTAACCAATGCCAGACCAATTACTATGGCAATCCCAACAAAGAGTGTCACCCTTGCGACTGTGATCCCTATGGTTCGGCCGACTTCCAGTGCGACCGTGAGACGGGACAGTGCGTCTGCCACGAGGGTATTGGAGGCCACAAATGTAACGAATGTGCCCGTGGCTTTTTGGGAGAATCACCCCACTGCATGCCTTGTGGCGAATGTTTCAACAATTGGGATTTGATTTTGAAGGAATTGGAAGAGGCCACCAGCGAGACCATACGCAGGGCCAGTGAGATTAAATTGATTGGCGCAACCGGTGCCTACACATCTGAGTTCAATACGCTGGACAAGAAACTACAACACATCCGTGACCTTTTGCAAAACACGTCGGTCAGTTTGAAGGATATTGACAGTTTGGACAAGGAAGTAGCTGAAATGAAACATAAACTAGGTGAAGCCCATCAAAAGCTCTTGGATACTGAAGGCAATTTGGAAGATATTTACTCGTCCCTCAGTTTGTCAGCTGTTGAGGTTGAGGCTTTGCAGAACCAATCCGAATTGGTAAAGAAACTTTCCAAGGAATTGAAGGAGCATGGTATCCAACTGCAGGAGTCGAACATAGAAGGTGCCCTCAATCTAACACGCACAGCCTATGAACGTGTTCAAGATTTGTCGGAGGTTAAAAAGAAGGCCGAAGAATATGCCTCGAACACGGATCGTAATTGTAAACGTGTTGAAACGCTGGCCAATAAAATGAAGGAGGAATCCTCAGCAGTGGAGACCAATGATGAACTTATCGAACAGTATCGCGGAGAATTGTCCAGCCTAACAGCCATGATACCGGAATTGAATAACGACGTGTGCGACCGCATGGGAGATCCTTGTGATAATATCTGTGGTGGTGCCGGTTGTGGTTCCTGTGGTGGTCTGTCATGCGAACGTGGTGCCTTGACACGTACCGAAAAGGCCCTTAAGGTTGCCAAGGACACGGAGCAGGAAATCAAGGAAAAGAAAGATCAAGCTGATCAGACCATACGTTCCCTGTTCCAGGCCAAGGTCAATGCCTCGGAAGCTTATCAAAAATCCAAGAGTGCCCATGAAGATGCCGAACGTTATTTGAACCGCACCCTGTTGAATATAAAACGTGGCGAAGACATGATTGGCAATCTAATGGAATTCATGTCCAACGAAACAGCCCTGCCCAGCGAATCAAAGGATTTGGCCCAACAGACATTAGACTTGGATCTGAAATTGGATCCCAATGAAATTCAAATGCTGGGTGGTAAAATCAATGATGCCGTTCTGTCGCTGAAAAATGTGGAAGCCATTATTTACAGTACCCGCGAAGATTTGCAACGTGTCAATGATTTGCAGGCCATTGCCAATAAGACCAAGGAACTGGCCAACGATATCCTTCAAACTGCCAACACGGTTGTGGAAAATCTCAACGATGCCGATGAGGCCCAGGGAAAGGCAAGCGATGCAATTGCCCAAGCCAAGAGCAACATTGAATTAGCTGCTCAGGATTTGGATCAAATCGACAGTGAAACCGGGGAGGCCGAGGCTCCGGCCAATGCCACAGTTCAGCATGTTGAAGAGCTGGCCAAAAAGGTAGCACGTCTGCAAAAGAACATACTCAAGAATGAGCTTGATGCCAAGGATGTGAAAAACGAAGCAGACAAGGTGAAAGAGTCGGCCAGGAGTGCCCGCGAAGATGCCAGAAAATTGCAGAATGCCTCCAATGTTGCCAATCAAACACTCACCGATCGGGCTGTACGTTCGGAAAATGCCCGCGATCGTGCCAAGAGGTTGCTGCAAAAGGCCTCCAAACTCACGGTCGAGACTAAGGAACAACTGCGCGAGTTGAAACTCATGCAGGATTCGTACAAAGAAAAGAACGATCAACTGCTGAAGTTGCAAGATGATCTAATACCTTTGCAGGATGAACTTGCGCATCATTTCAAGAATATTAAGGCCAATGCTGAGCGTTATATACAATGTTAAAGGAAACGGCAGGGGCGGGAGAGAAGAGAGGGAGAGAGAGAAGAAAGCTCATATACCTACTTAAAAAAGGACATCTGCTCTCCTTCGCTTTCGCCGCCCCCAGTTATAGGTTTAAATCACTTTTTTTTAAATAATAAAAATCTAATTTTCGAAATAATAATAATAATAATCTATGCAACAAAGCCATAACGAAGAAACTACCAGTACATTGTTTTGTGTAATTTGTCATCATCCTTCACCGTGTCTCATTTAAGTTTATAATTTTTGTACGTCAAAGCAAGCGAGCAATGTTCTTAGCAATATACATAGTAGTTATGTGTAGCAATACTAAGGAGACCCCTCCCAGCTTCCTGTCTGTCCATCCCATAGTATAATTTTAATAAATTAAAATGCAATATCTATTATCTACCCCACCTGCCCGCCCGTCACATACCCCATCCCAAACCTCCAAACCTTCATTTATTTAGTTTTAAACAAACTTAAGTTTTTTTTTGTTGCAATTTAATCGTGTGCCTTATTTTTGTGAAGAAGATCGATCATCCCCTCCGATTATAGTCATAATTTTTTTTTGAACAAAAAGAGAACAAGAACAACAACAAATATTCGAATATGCCATAAAATCTAAGAAAAAATTTTTTAATTTAAAGTATAGCAATGGGTAAGAATGGGGGAGACATGAAATCATGGATTTCATTGCTATGATGAGGCCCATGGGTTTTTTGGCCTCACCTGTTCTTACACCCAACTCATTACTTCTTTTTTTTACTTTCATACTATTACGAGCGAATCATACATTTTATATATATATCTGATAATGATGATGTGAAATAAATAAATAAAAGTTTATAATAAAAATTTCCTCTATTTGTTTTTATTTCTTGGGTCGGTCTGCTGATCGAGCAATAAATTGGCCAAAATCGTTTGGGAAAAGCCCAGAGAAAGCGAATCGTGCTAAAGAAAACTCAACCAAAAACTGACTTTTTTAGAGGTAATTGAAAAAAATCCCGATAGGAAAGGATTTCACTCAAATGTAGTTCAATTTAATTTAAATGGAAAACATAGAAACGTTTGTTCTGTCTGATTTCGTACCAATTTTGTACAATTCACTGGCCAATAAAATTATGTTTTTTCATAGAATTCCTTTCCGAGAATCGTGGATTTAGAATGTGCCATTAGTGTAAAGCTGAAAATGTGCATCTTCGGTTGGCCACCAGGACTCAAATGCCGGCCATGGTGATGGTGTGGGCCGCCATAACAGCCGTTGGTCGTACTCCGTTCGTATTAACCGACCGTGGCATCAGAATAAATTCCGAATTTTATCGCGAAAATATTTTGGAGGGTATATTAAACCCTTGGGCACGCAAACATTTTGGCCGCAGACCTTGGACATTCCAACAGGACTCAGATACCATCGCACGCAGCACGGCATTTAGAATGTGTCATTAGTGCAAAGTCAGTTGCGAAATCGGCCCACTCCTTCTAGTATATCCCCCACAAAGGCTTAAAATGTTGAATAAACATTTATCTTATAAAATGTGAAATACAGGGTTAGATGGAAAGACTGCAACCAATTTCAGACTGGTGTCATTTCTAAGCCACTCGTCCGACAGCTGTTAAAATTATTCTAGTAATAGCTCATTATATTGTTTACAAGCGTAAATAAGCATTTTGGTGAGAATTTTCCAGAAAAAAAAGTTATTCGTGATGGAATTCAAGCGTGATAGTGTGATTTCTTTATATTTGGCTGGAAAGCCACAAGTGGCTATCGTTAGAGCACTCCAGCATTTAAATGTGAATAAATCTTTTGTTTCTCATGCCATTGCTCGTTACCGTGATACTAGAAGCGTAACCCGACGTCAAGGAAGTGGACGGAAGAAAACAGCAACATCAGCAGAAATGGTTCGAAAAGTAAAGAAGCGACTTGATCGAAACCCGCGTCGCAGTGACCGAAAAATGGCTCGTGGAGCTGAACATATCGCAATATTCCATTCGGCAAATATTGAAAAATAAGCTCGGGGTAAAGCCATTGAAATTCCAAAAAGTGCAAGAACTTACATCGCAACAGAAAGAAAATAGACTCAAAAGAGCTAAGGAGTTGCTTTGCTTGGCCGAAAGTGATGAACTGCCGAATTTGGTTTTCTCCGATGAGATAAAATTCGTTGTCCCGCAGTTTGTAAACAAACAAAATGGTCGTGTTTACTTGCCAAGAAGGTCAGCTAAAAGTGTGCACCTTCGGTTGGCCACCAGAACTCAAGCGCCGGCCATTGTGATGGTGTGGGCCGCCATAATAGCCAGCATCAAATGCCGAATATTTTATCGGAAAATATTCTGGAGGGTGAATTAAAGCCTTGGGCATGCAAACATTTTGGCCGCAAACCTTGGACATTCCAACAGGACTCAGCACCATCGCACTCAGCATGCGCCACCCAAGATTGATTACAAAATGAGGTTCCTCGCCTCATTTCCAGCGCACAATGGTTACCAAAATCTCCGGATAACAATCCGTTGAACTATTGTGTCTGCAGTATTTTGGAACGCAAGGTTGGCACTAAAAAATACCAAAGTGTCAATCACCTCAAACAAGTGCTTCGCCGGAATGGGCCAAAATACCGCAAAGCAACATTCGGACAGCGTGTGACGGTTTCTTTGGCCGTTTGAAGGCCATAATTCGTGCCAAAGGTAACCAATTCGAACAAATCTAATCTTATTCTAAATTTTGAAGCTATTTCAGAAATTTTTTGCCTTCATTCAATAAAATTTAAAAAAAAAAAAAATAAAAATTATGGCGTTTGACTTTGTTCCAGTTTTTTATCTCACCCTGTATACTCTAATTGTTCGAAAAGTACTAAGTGTTACACAATTGCATATTATTATTTCGAAGGAATAGAGCTGGAATCCGGAAATTCGATATTAAGATCTTTGTTGGTATCTGGTGTTGAGATCTAGGGGCGGTTTTGCAAATGCGTACGTAATTGTTCGAAAAGTACTAAATGAGATTTTGGATCACTGTTGGTGTCTAGGATGGACATACACAGGTTGTTTTGGTTATGCGTATTTAATTTGGAATTGGGTGAAGGGAAAGCGCTGAAAATCTGAAATTTGATATTGAGGTCACTGTTGGTTTCAAGGTTAAAACAGTTGTGCACAGAAACATTTAATTTGCCATACTTTTACTAATTTTCTCCTCGGTAAACTTCAAAATTAAAGATTTTGAAGACTTTTTTGTGTATAAGATATTATTTTATTGCTCTTTTGGAAAAATCTAAAATTTTATGGTGGACTTTTCATTGACAAAAAAGCGACACCTACTAAATTTTTATAATATATCCTAAAAAAATATCCACTTTTTGAAATAGTGGAATTTTTACGGTTTTGTTTAAGGACTTTAAATCCAAAAATCGTCAATTTTGTATTGTATATGAATTTTGTATTTCTGGCAAATAATCGTGAGTATGGATTTATTCCAGAAAAAATCTTGGATTTTTTTTCAATTTCCTTGAAAAGCTCCCTCTCCCATGCCTGATATCTTTCCTTTTTAAATTATTCATATTTTTTAAAAACTTTTAAAATTATTTGTTTTTCAATTTTATTGAAACAAAAAGCGTTACAACATTCAATCAATAATTCCCAAAACTCTAGCTTTACTCAAAAAGTCAGTTCTTTGTACGTAACAGCCCGTCATGGTTCTACTGCCCGTATACGAATAGCGGCCATGATAGACACGCCAATTATCGAAGACAACTACGGTGCCGGGATACAATTTGAAACGCCACTGATTATCAGGACTCTGGACAATTTCCAGGAATTCACAAAATGCCTCATAGAATTCCATCATATCCCCCTGGGGTATGGTATTGAAAACGGCACGATCGTAGACATTTAAACGTAGCTGGATAATTTCTTGGGTGACTGGGTCCAAACGTATCATTGGAGCCGAGTGGATGTGATGTTGGCCCTCTTCAATGTACTCAGCTGGCAAATGTACGCGCGTGAGTAATTCAAATGCTTTGGGATTTCTTCGTTTCAATTCCAGGGCACAGTGAAGACCATCAACAAAGAAATTCTCACCACCCTCACCATTTACATGCTGCAAACAGTGCAGAGCCTGCACCCCGGCGGCATCACAAAAATAGGTATTATCGGTGTGGGAACCCAAGTACTCCTTGGAATAGGCTGTGTCGGCATGATCGGCAGCATCTGTGAAGGTAAACATTTCACCGAAGAATGTCTTCATGACAGGGAAGGCACGACGTATGGCCATTTCGGTCATTGTGGTATTGGCCGGAACATCGTCTATGAAGGCAATGCCATAGCGCACCAAGGCGGCCACATAATCCCTTACCACAACATCGGAGCTCACCAGGTCAGTAAAACGAAAACGGCTGTGCCTTTCATTTTGCAAAATAATGGGTAAATTCCATGGTGTCTTCAGGGTGGAAGTCGACTTGCGTTTTATCAGTTTCTCCACTTGTGAATTGAATATGAAATCAATATCGTATTCCGAAACGTGGCCATCGTTCCCTGATAAAAATTAATCCAAAAAATTAAACATTTCATATGAAATCGAATACCAGCATCATGTATCTACTTACATGTCACTTCCAAAACGAGGCCATCCTTCAAATATTTCACTCCGCCATTTTCTGGTTTGATATCTCGGGGTATATCCAATAAATTGTATCTCCTTTGCTTGGTCTCGACATTATAACACCTGGGGCATCTGCAATGATCCCGCAACCAAAAATAATTTACTTTTATCACCTCCTGACTTTGACTGTGTTTTATGTCCAACATTGTCGTTTTCTCTTCCAGTCTTCCAGTTGTCTAACGCTGAACTTTGGAAATGCTACTGAAAATCGGTTTTAATTTATAGCTAATTTTTATATATTCTAGAATACAGAATAAAAATCCAAAAAAAAAAAAGAATATTTAATATTCCAGCTCAAGAGATAAGCGCTATTCACCACATCCATTTCTACAGCTGCTGATAAGAAGACAAGCTGTGCCTTCATGACGATGATGATGATTAAGATGATGGGTGACTTGCTAAGATAGGTTAAACTACATGCGTTTACATACACTAGGCGAATGAATTTTTTATATTTATACTAACATTTTATAGTTTTTCAAACAGTTTGTGTTAGGCATTTTTAGGACTCAAGATGCACGATTTATTCAGTTCGAAGATATATTTTTAATTAAGGGTTCTTTCATCATACTAAATTTTCAGACTTTCGAGGTGCCACATATTTTAAAGTTCTTCCTTTCTTGGAAAGAATATTAGGAACATATTTACCTTTTGCATCAAAATGTCTTCAAAATCTTTCCTTTTGAAGTTTACCGAGGAGGATTTCAGTAAAACAATTGCACAATGGACCCACATCCAATATTTCTGTCCAAAACTATTTCAAAGTCTAAATACAGGGTGAGATAGAAAACTGCAACAAAGTCAAACGTCAAAATTTTTAAATTTTGTGGAATTAAATCAAAAAATGTCGGAAATAGCATTAAATTTTAGAATAAGCTTAGATTTGTTCGAATTGGTCACCTTTGGCACGTATTATGGCCTTCAAACGGCCAATGAAACCGTCACACGCTGCCCAAATGTTGCTCTGCGTTATTGTGGCCCATTTCTGGCGAAGCGCTTGATTTAGGTGATCTATACTTTGGTACTTTTTAGTGCCAACCTTGCTTTCCAAAATACTCCAGACAGAATAGTCCAGCGGATTGGTATCCGGAGATTTTGGTGGCCATTGTGCGATGGAAATTAAGCGTGCTGAGTCCTGTTGGAATGTCCAAGGACTGCGGCCAAAATGATTGCGGGCCTCCAGACTATTTTCGCGATAATATTCGGCATTTATTCTGATGTCACGGTCGATTAATACGAGCGGAGAGCGACCATCGCCTGTTATTTCGGCCCATACCATTACCATGGCCGGCGCTTGAGTTCTGGTGGCCACCCGAAGGAGCACATTTTCAGCTGACCTCTTTGGCAAGTAAACACGATAATTTTGTTTGTTTACAAGCTGCTGGACAACGAATGTTTTCTCATCGGAGAAAACCAAATTCCGAAGTTCGCCACTTTCAGCCCAACGAAGCAACTTTATAGCTCTTTTGAGTGTATATTCTTGAACTTTTTGGAATTTCACTGGCTTTACCACGAGCTCATTTTTCAATATTTGCCGAATGGAATATTGCGATATGTTCTGCTCACGAGCCATTTTTCGGCCACTGCGACACGGGTTTCGATCAAGTCGATTCTTTATTTTTCGAAGCATTTCTGCTGATGTTGCTGTTTTCTTTCGTCCACTTCCTTGACGTCCGATACTGGTATTGCAGTAACGAGACACAAAAGATTTATTCACATTTAAATGCTGTAGTGCTCTAATCATAGCCACTTGTGGTTTTCCAGCCAAATATAAAGAAATCACACTATCACGCTTGAATATGGAATTCACGAATAACTTTTCTTCTAGAAAATTCTCACCAAAATGCTTTTGTACGCTTGTAAACAGTATAATGAGCTGTCACTGGAGTAATTTAACAGCTGTCGGATGAGTGGCTTAGAAATGACAGCAGTCTGAAGTTGGTTGCCGTTTTTTCATCACACCCTATAAAGATTGGACTAATGTCGATTTTCCCTTTTATATTCAAAAACACTGTGCATATTCGCCAATCCAATGACATGTGGACATAATTGACACCCATTGTAGGTGATTTTCTTCACTCTCCCAAAAACACAACAAGTTATCAATAACAATCAAAAGAAATAAATTGTCAATGAATGTCGTATACATGCCACTATGGATTTTTTCTCTTCCAAATTCACTCTCTCATGATACTAAGTTGGATACTCTCCCAAAATCTCTCTCTCCCACTCTCACCTCCTCAAATCATCCGCTAATTTGTCTGTCTCTAGCATTAGTAACTAAAAACTAATTGCATCAACATACACTGGTGGCCAAAACTAAAGGAACTGAAATTACAAGGAGAATGAATGTCCTGTAACTTTTTCAAAAATTAAGAAAATGAGAAAGTTTTTCTTGTTTTAAATTAGGCACTTTATTCACTTTTTAAAAACCTAAAACATAAAACCAAAATTCATTTTTATATAAAAAATAATGTTTGGTAAAGTCAATTAACCCTATTTTGGCTTGGACAAAACAAAAGCAACTCTGCTGTATATTCATATAACCTCTGCAATTTCAGTTGTTTTTACTGTGATATTTATCGCTTTTTGCTTCCTTCGACAATTTCGCTTGTCATAAATCCTTTTTAAAAAGTTTTTTACAACAGTATGTTTTTTTCTTTTCGTTTTTTAAGTACTGCCCAAAAACATTTTAAAAATGGCTAAAAGCAAATACAGTACCTGAATAAAACAGCAAATTATCAGTGACTATCAAAACAACATATCACAGAAAATGATTTCCGAGAAATATTTCGTAAATATTTATGTGATTTCATAATTATTTCTGTATACTTAGTCGGTTTTTTTGAAACTGGATCAGGAATAACAGTCTATAACGGATGAAGGCCGTGAAAAACTTCAGCCGTACTGATCCACAAATTGTGAGAGAAATAAAAAACAACTATTTAAGAGTTCAACTGGATTGGTGAGAGATCAATCATTGGATATAAGCTCGAGATCAGTGCGTAGACGAGTAGTGGCAGCTGGTCTGCATGCCCGTAAGACATCAAAAAACCATTCATATCTGAAAAAAATCAAAAAGGCTTTCGGAAACGATAATATTAAGTGGAATCAAGCTCAATGGAAAAAAAACGTTATTTCTGGGATGAGTCTATGTTTAATATTAAAGGCTCAGACGTGAAAAATTTTACGGTGAGAAGACCAAAAAATGAAGGACTCAAGCCGTAGTGTTGCAAAGGTACAGTGAAGCATGAGACAGGGTCAAAAATGGCGTGGCGCTGTTTTTCTTTCTATGGACTTGGACCTATCCTTAAAATAAAGGAAGTTGTGGATCGGTTTGTTTACAAAGATGTGTTGGACATCACGTTGTTCCCTTACGCTGAGTAAAATATTCGGCTGATTTGGGTGTTTCAGCATGACAATGATCCCAAACTTGTACAAATATTGGTTGCGGGAGTCAAAAATTCATGTTTTGTTATGGACGGCACAATCACCTGACCTAAACTCCTTAGAAAAGCTTTGGAGTATCGTAGATAGGAAGCTCAAGAGAGATTCGGAAATAAATAAGCACAACATATTCTAAAGAATTCGGTGTGCCTGGGAAAGCACACCCAAGGATCAAATTGAGCGTGTTATAGATTCAATGCCTCGTAGGTGTGCAACTGCTATCAAAAATAATGGTTATGCTATCGACTACTAGCCAAAATTTAATTATTTTAAAATAAAAAATCAAAAGTTGCTTTAGTTTTGACCAAGCAAAATTTGGCTCATTTCAGTTTTCTACATATTATTTTTCGTTCAAAATTATTTTTGTATTTTTATTTTTAGTTTCTTAAAAGTGAATTAAACCCCTCATTTAAAACTGGAAAAATAATTACGATTTTTTTATTTTTGTAAAAGTTACAGGACATTTATTGTCTTTGCGATCTAAGTTGCTTTAGTTTTGGCCACCAGTGTACATACAGGCAACGTATACGCCACGGTGTACTGTACACCTTGGCGTATACGTGTGATGTAAACATTGTCATTGTTTTGTATGAATTGTGGGTATAAATGTATGTGTGTGACTGTGTTTTGGTTTTTGTTATGATAGCGACACAGTTTCATTTAGAACTGCATTTCATTGTAAAAAGCGGGTGTAAGTGTGTGCGTATTCGTGTCTTGTGGCAGCCATGGTATCCAAGCGACAGATAACAGCTGAATGAGTTGTTGTTTTTGTTGCCTGAACAAGAACAACGTGCAAAAAACATTAGGTATGACTGTATAAACCCCTCTCCCGACTATTATTTTCCAATTAGATTTTTAGCACTCACCACTCTTTCACTCTCTCTCATGAATTTAGATTACACTTAGTGAGACAATGAAAACAACGGTGTTGTCGTCGATGAGTCTCATTTCCGATGTCGCGATATATGTATTTGGTGGAGGCGTTTCCTTCTGCTTCTGCTATCATCATACTAATTCATGTGGATAGGTAGGTATTTTTTGTTTTGGTTGTGCCACCGCTCATGATGTTGTTGTTGCTTTCAATTGTCACCCAAAATGTGTGTGCATGATATGTCCGTCCGCGTCTGTCTAAATGATAAACAAAACAAGAACAACAGGGAAATTATTTCTGTCCGTTATTTTCTCGTGATTTCTTCTGTTAGACACCAATCCACCAATTGTCGTAATGTACACTCTGGCGCGAGCTCTCTCTCATTGTCTCACACTCTCATCGTGCATGAGTTTTCTTCGGACTTTCATCCGTGGCTGTCTGCCGTTGACGTTTTAGCAAATACGATTTCAGTTGTTTTCAGAAAATTGCCTATAAATTAGCCAAAGAGATTTGTTTCGGTTGTGGTGCAGTGCTCAGGAAAAACAAAAAGAGAGTGGTGAAAACAGTAAAAAATCAAAACAAAATTTCCACAATAATAAAAAACAAATATTTTAATAAAAAACAAATAATTGTGCGTTTTATAAGCTTTGTAAAAATTCTTGGCAATGAACTTGTCCCAAGGATCGCTCGTGCAAATAAGCTTACTTCTTGGCGTGATTCTTTGATCCAAGTGAAAATGTCATCCTTGTCAAAACAAAAACAAATCAAATTATCCAATATTGTCTTGTGTCGTCTATCCATTGAACACGCTCAAAAACAAATATTATTGAATTTTTCATGACCGAATAATTTTTGGGCCCATGCACAACAACAACAGCAACACTGTGGCGTCCTCCTCCACTATGAATGGCAGACAACAATTACAAAGTCAGTGTCAAGTTATTATTACAACAATAACAACAGCGTCAGTATTATAGCTGTAAATCAAATTTTAAACAACACCTTCAACGTCATTGAGAAGTGAGTGTGTGTGTCTGTGGCGGGTGACCCACCCACTGAACACGGTACCAAATTCAAATTTGATTTGACATTTCTTGGCGTTATTGTCCTCAACATCAAGTCTTTTTTTCCCGTTATCTGCAGTCATAATGGATATCCAACATCACCATCATCACTACATTTCCTTTCGACGATCTTTAAAACGCTCGATTAGCTTCAATGCAGGTATGTATGTATGGTTGCCACCAATATGTCGCCAAAGTGTAATTTTTATGTTTCCTCATAATGACCTTGTACGTGTTACGGTCATTGTTCATTGATCTTCCTAAATTTTTATTAAAAATTGACATCGTTGATTTTGAAAGTGGATTAAGTCGCTATCTACCAGTGAATCTGCTAGAAAGACTAACAATTCTTTTTTGTTTAATATTTACATGAAAAATCCAGTGGGTTATGAACGTAGAGCAGGAGAAGATTCGTGTATCGGCGTTTTGAAAGTTTGCATCAAAGGTCACTCTCTCTCTCTCTCTTTCACATTTAAAGTTTCGGATTAAGATTCATAGGAATCTGTGAATTTTATGTGGCGTCTTCTGCAATATCACTTATAAAAAAATGTTTTGGTCGAAAACTTCAACCATTAAGCGAATTCCTAAAGGGGTCTTTAAGGTCCTTTTTTTTCAATATATGGTTAAAAATGCCATTTCAACTGGATTGAAGCAAGTCAAAATATTCTACAAAATTATTTGTAATAAAATTCTAGTATAGATCAAAGTATATGTCGCTAGGAATTCATAAATAATAAAAACACATTTTAAGGTTAAAACCACACTTATGTTAGTTTATGCAAAAGTCGCCTACAAAGCATCATTTTCAAAACATGACTTCAAAGAGAAAAACAATTCTTGATCAAGTCTCACCGTAAGTCTCTAAGGAAAAAATATCAATTTCCATTTGTGGGGAACATACCAGAAGGGGTGGGCCGATATCTACTACCTTCACCTTAATATGTGTTGATAGAAATATTGAGATGAGTTAAATTTGAAGAGAGTCGGATGCTTATTTCGCAAATTGCAAGAGATATAATTATACAAAACTTTTGACACTCTGTGAAGGAGATACCAGTTGGTGTGGACCGATATATTCCATCTTCAAAACAGATCTTGTGTTAGTAGAAATATTGTGATGCATGAAATTTGAGGAGAATCGAATTCTTATTTCGTATTTTATAAGAGTTATAACAATTTAAAAAGTTTCAGTCGATTTTGCCGAGAGATGTATGCCCTCATCCAATATTTGATTGTTAAAATATTCAGTGTGACCTGAAAAAACTGCAACAAACTTCAGACTGCTGTCATTTCTAAGCCACTCGTCCGACAGCTGTTGAAATTATTCCAGTGACAGCTCATTATATTGTTTACAAGCGTACAAAGCATTTTGGTGAGAATTTTCCTGAAAAAGAAGTTAATCGTGATGGAATTCAAGCGTGATACTGTGATTTCTTTATATTAGGCTGGAAAAGCGCAAGTGGCTATCGCTAGAGCATTACAGCATTTAAATGTGAATAAATTCTTTTGTGTCTCGTACCATGGCTCGTTTCCGACGTCAAGTAAGTGAACGGAAGAAAACAGCAACATTAGCAGAAATGGTGCGAAAAGTAAAGAAGTGACTTGATTCAAACCTGCGTCAAAATGGCCGAAATGGCTCGTGAGCTGAACATATCTCAATATTCCATTCGGCAAATATTGAAAAATGAGCTCGGAGTAAAGCCATTGAAATTCCAAAAAGTGCAAGAACTTACACCACAAAAAAAAAGACTCAAAAGATCTAAAGAGTTGCTTCGCTTGGCCGAAAGTGGTGAACTGCCGAATTTGTTTTTTTCCGATAAGAAAACATACGTTGTCCAGCAGTTTGTAAACAAGCCAAATGCTCGTGTTTACTTGCCAAGGAGGTCAGCTGAAAATGTGCACCTACGGGTGGCCACCAGAACTCAAGCGCCGGCCATGGTGATGGTGTGGGCCGTCATAACAGCCGATGGTCGCTCTCCGCTCGTATAAATCGACCGTGGCATCAGAATAAATGCCGAATATTATCGCGAAAATATTCTGGAGGGTGTATTAAAGCCTTGGTCACGCAAACATTTCGGACGCAGACCTTGGACATTCCAACAGAAATGACGCACTCAGCACGCGCCACCCAAAAATGGTTGCTTCATTTCCAGCGTATAATAGCCACCAAAATTTCCGAATACCAATCCGTTGGACTATTATGTCTGGAGTATTTTGAAAAGCAAGGTTGGCACTAAAAAATACCAAAGTGTTGATCACCTCAAGCAAGCGCTTCGCCGCGAATGGGCCAAAATACCTCAGAGCAACATTTGGGCAGCGTGTGAGGGTTTCATTGGCCGTTTGAAGACCATAATTCGTGCCAAAGGTGACCAATTCGAACAAATATTACAAATTCTAAATGTTGATGCTATTTCCGACATGTTTTGCTTTCATTCAATGAAATTAAAGGAAAAATTTTAAAATTATGGCGTTTGACTTTGTTGCACTTTTTTATCAAACTCTGTATAGGCGGTACTGATATATGGACCTAAACGAAGACATGGACCTGCATAGACAATTTTCTGTCACATAGTGTAATACCTATTAGGAACTTCAAATACGAAATTTCCAACAATTTCGGTAAATATTGTACTTAAAATCGTCAAAATACCGAATATAGGCGGTACTGATATATGGGGCCTATACGAAGACCTGGACCTGCATGACAATTTTCCGGCATATGTTGTAGTTTCCATTATGAACTCTAAATACGAAATTTGAAACAACTCCGGTGGATAATGTCGCTAAAATCGTCAAAATGCCTAATATTGGAAAGGACCCTTATGTGGTGGCTATACAATATCGTGGACCTATATAGACAATTATTTTTCAGGGAGTAAAGTACTCAGAAGGTACTCCTTTTGTGGATTTTCAGATAATTTTATTGGAAAATTTTGCTGCAATCATCAAAATACCAAATATCGGGGGGTACTTTTGTTTGGGGGGCGCTATACGATATCGTGGACCGATATAGCCCATCTTCAAACTTGATTGTCTGCGCACAAAATACTGAAAATTTTAGCTTCCTCTGTGTATTCGTTTTGATTTCAACAGACGGACGGACGTACATGGCTAAATTCTGATAAAGAATATTTCTACTTCGTTATGTCTAAAATGACTATTTAGATGAGTTACAAACGGAATGACAAAATTAATATACGGTCCATACTAGGTATGGTGGATGGTATGAAAAGTGATGGTAGTTAATTTGCTATTTTGAGTGAAAGCATTAAAAGATCGCTGTTACCGCATAACATAACATACAATGTAAAATAACATTGTACTTTAACATAATAAAGATATTGCATAGTTGATCATGTTGATTATGATGTTGAAAATGATATAAACAGACTGTTACACTCCAAAATATCTACACCTAACACCCACTTAGGCCACTTTCAAAATCAACGATTCAATTACGGTGTATTGTCATTTGTGTGTTTTTATACCTATTCTTTATTTTTCTGTTCATTTTATCTTTTATGTTATGATCTGTATTTGCTGTTGCTGCTGCTTCCTCTTCTTCGTTGTCGTCCTCCTCGCTATTATTCTTTGTCTAATTGAGCTTTATTGCCAAAAATTGTGTTGATTTTTTGTTATTATTTTCATCATTCAATTACATGTTGCTCTCAAATCTCCTGCTCGCTCTCAATGTGAGATTTTACAAATTTAAAGAGAACATTTATTTGGTTACGACAAAAACATAGAGAAGACACAATTAATGACGTCGCGAAATATATATTTTTTCCTGTGATTTAATCTTGTTTCCTTTTGAAATTTTTGTACATCTGTCGCCCGGTGACCTTTAAAAGCAAAATCAGAAGGCGACAAAATTACAACAGATGGACAAAGATTTGTAATTATTAGTTTTGTTAAAAACACGTCACATGCAATGGTATGAATATTCGTGTGCATGTGACGTACTTATATTGTAGCGGGTGTAAACTGCAAGATTTAAACTCCTCTACTATTAAAAATGATAGAAAAAAGGTAAATAAATAATATCACATTTTAAATGCTCAAGGAATCAGCAAAATCCATCCAATTAAAAAACGTGGAAAACATCTATTAAAGTTGGAGCAAAACACATAAGAAAGATGTAAACCCCCAGCCTTGAGTTATGATTATTCAAACTGTTGACCCTTTATGGAGAAGGTTCCGAAGCAGTTGACCGGCCAATATTGACCAATTCGTATCCGACTTCAGACTAATTTAAATATTATAACGTGCCAGATTTGTACTACATCGACTATTTCTTATACTTTATATGAGAGATGTGCAAGTTTTTTGGAAAATGTGGACAGATATAGCGGGACGATTTATTCCATTTTCATACTCCATCTAATACAGATAAAAATATTGGTATGTGCAAAATTTAAAGGAAATCAAACATTTCAAACTCAAACTTTAACCCTTTGTGGAGGATGTACCAGAAGGAATGGTCAAATCTCTACTAACAGATCTTATTTTGATTCAAATATTGAGATGCACCAAGTCTGAATGAAGTCGCATGTTAATTTCGCGTTTTATGAGCTTTATGGATATTCAAAATTTTGTCCGATGAATGAAAATGAGTGAATGAATCAGAATGAGTGGACCGATATATTCCATCTTCACATCAGACCTTGGATTATTAAAAATATTGTGATGTGTATAATATGAAGAGAACCGGATGCTTATTTCGGATTTTATGATCGTTTTTGTTATACAAAACTTTGATCCTTTGGGGGGGAGGTATAAGAAGAAATGGTCCGATCAATTCCATCTTTAGAACAGATCTTATTTTGATTCAAATATTGAGATGTACCAAGTCTGAATGGGATCGGATATTAATTTTTCGTTTTATAAGCTTCATGGATATTCAAAATGTTGTCCCTTTGTGGAGGAGGTACCAGAAGGAGTGGACCAATGTATTCCATTTTCACAACAGAAAATGAGTCAATAAAAATATTGTGATGTGTGTGATTGAGGAACGGATGTTTATTTCGGATTTTATAGTCGTTTTTGTTATTCAAAACTTTGACCCTTTGTGGGGGAGGTACCAGAAGGAGTGGACCGATCTCTGTCATCTTTATACCAGATCTTGTGTTGATGGAAATATGGAGATGTGCCAAGACTGAA